GAACATTGTCCTTGTCAGGAAATGAGTGACTAAATGCCAGTGCAATCGATATTTATAGCTGTAGCTGCATAGTGACTGCATGTAGACGTAAGTTTGAACAATGCGAGTGATTTCGTTTTAAATACAAAAGCTTTACTGAACATATATGAATGCACATGCATCAGAGAGACTTGTTGATGAATTTTGCGGTTGCGGTTGTCACTTAAACAACTAATAAAATTCAATGACGTGGCTCTGGGCGGAAATACTTTGGGACCATAAAGAACTGACGTATTAATGATAAAAACACCGATGTCCATACTGATTTTTATTCCATTATTTATTTATTTATTTATTTATTTATTTATTTATTTATTTATTATTTTGTGGTTGCCGTGCATCATTCTGAGTAGAGCCATTTCCATTCATCCTGTACTCAGAACTCCAGCATATTTGCTTTTAATTAAAATCAAACAAGTTAGGTTTAACAGATCTGAAGTTTCCCATTGTCAAATTTCCGTGGCTGTGCACTTTGTTAAAGTTACAATAATATAAGTTCATTTATGCGTTTACATTCACGTAGTTTACTAATGGTTTGCACGTCAGCAGATATACGTTAGTGGTAGACAGGTGGGTCACTACTGGTACTTAACAGTTGAGGTGAAGGCGTTGTCACACCTAGCGTAAAGAGGTACGTATCAGTGTATTGTAAGGGACGCGAGTGATATTTTAAGTTGGTTATTAACAAGTGACATTTTAAAAGTATTTGTAACGTAGAGACGGGGATAAATAGGACTGGTGGTGGGTAGAAGAGGAAAGACACTAAGGGAGCGGGCAAAAAACTGAAGAATAAATTAAAACTCTTGTTGTTTGTTTCTTCGAATTCTCGATTGGCAAACCGAATATTGAACCTTACAGTACGTGATAGCTATTATACGCATAACTTTGAGCGTATGATATCACTATTTTTCCTGCATGCGAGAAAGAACGAAAGAGCAGCTTAAAAATAGTGTTTGATTATCGTACATGAGCGTTTGGGTTCTGTATGTGTGCGTGTGAGTAACGTACATGAGCACGAGGTCCGATTATGCGTTAGGTAAATGTAAACTACGTTCGGTATACGCTCGTATACGCAAAGTATATATGTTCATGTAACCCAGACACGCATTAACAAAAGATACGTTCCACACGATACAAATGTGTTAATATTACGCTGCCTATACGCTATAGATGCGCTGCCTACATAAACCGACCATCCCATAGTTGTTTACCTAAATTGTGGTATGCTATTCGTACGCACGTAAACGCTGAAAAATTCGAGCATGCTCAAAAATTTATACCTCCTCCTGCGTACGACAAAACGTACACTAACTCGAAAAGTAGGCACATACGACTGAATTCCAACGAACCCATTACGCTTGTCCACGTATGAGCAATTTATTTCTTACGTTAATGCTATTTTTTATACGTTTAGGCAAAGTTTAGTTTATACATTGGCCTTTATGCGAAATACAGTTCATTATCGGCTTGAACAGCATTTAAATACGGTTCATTTTTGGGTCAAATCATATCGTCTTGACATGGGACTGCACCTGCTTCTGAATTTACGCAGTGCTTCTGTGTGGCATAGCCTCTCATCTCCTTGTCTTCCCAGCTGGGAGTGTTATTCCCAGTAACCGTACGTGTGTCATACTTGTACGGGTATGTGAAACGCACTGTAACGTACTTTCAACGTCATTTCAGCGTATAAACCGTGAACTTATCATGTCCCTTGCGTACGAACAACGTATGGGTCACACGCTCGATGAAAATCTCTAAACGCACATCACCGTCCAGCTGCATACGTGAAACGTACACGACGTACGTCTGACGAAGCCCTTCCGTTTGTCTTCAGGTATGTGCGTGTGTGTGTGTGTGTGTGCGCGCGCGTGTGTGTGTGTGGGTGAGAGAGATGTGTTTGTAGGGGGAGTGTGCTTTTCAGAATCGTTCAGGCAAAGCCATGCCAGCGAGGTAAGCTGTAGAGGAAATGAGGCGCCTTTTTTCAGAATTTTCAGTTTTTCTTGCCCTATATACAGTATTTATTATACCTGTGTGCGCTCCCCAAACATTGCCTAGCCACTTAATTGCACTAATGCGTGCCCATCGTCAAAATGCGCACCCTTCCTGACTTTCTAAAATACATTTTACGTCTTCAACACAAACTGTGCACGTTTAATATTATTGATGCCCTTTGTTTAAGCAGCAGATGGAGGAGTATGAATCCCTCACCTTCTTGACAGTGTACATGAGCGAATGGCAGTATGTGTATAGAGCAGGCGAGTTATATATACAATATTACTAGGGATAACTTTTGTGTACGTTTGTGAGGTTTTTACTTGTGGATTCTTGTAAACATTTGTGTTGCCAAGTTGTCTAACGGAAAATTAACTATTACCACTACTATTCAGACTAATCTGCATTGCTTCTGAGTAGAACACAATGGTGAATATTGGACCCTCGTCTCTTAAAGCAGATAGGCACCAGACTGTATTTATAATGACCTGAAGCACACGTGCAGTTCGTGGCCATTTTACTACTCCTTAATCAGAGTAAAACGCTTCATTATTAAATGTTATTAATTGATAACAGAGTTGTATATACTCCCTCGTGTAACAGCAAAAGATAAAAACAACTTTGTCACATAAATGTCCGCCTCCCTGACCACAAATGTGACCAAGTTGTTTTTATCTACTGCTCTTTGTGTTACTACCTCGCGTCACATCAAAAGATAAAAAACTTCGTCACAAATATATGCCCGCATCCTCCACCATATATGTTACGAAGTTGTTCTTTTTATCTTTTGCTGTTACGTAAGGTAAATAAGTACACTGTACTATTTGTCGTTAAGCGTTTGTTGGTCCAACTTGACAATGATCGCTATCTGAAACAGAAGAGTAAATTACATAAGTCTACGTAAACAGTAATCTTATATGAGGGAGTAAAAAACAACTCTGTTACAATCTTTTATATTATTTATTAACTGTTTTCTAGTTGGTTTTGGCGACGCTTTCTTTCCATGTCTGTCTCTACCTCTTTCAATCTCTAGAGGCCTTCTCCTCGTTTACATTACTTGCGGTTATATAAGTATCATAAAGCCTAGGTCCCAACTACGTTTTGGACGCACGGTTTTTAGGTTCCTTGCGTCCGGCTAGGACGTAGCTAGATCGCACATCGCGACTGTTGATCCTGTCAAAAAGTTTCTACGTGCTGTTTGCGTCCTCCCAAAAGTCGCACGATGGACGTGCTCCTCACGCACGAACTCCCACGTTTTCCCCATTTTTTTTTTTGGCCGTAGACCACACGTAGCAGCCCGTGCGTTCGGTTAGGACCTAGGCTTAAGAGCATGTCAATCAACTCAGTTACTCTACAAAGCACTCCCCACTCCTTATTTATTCGCTCGTGGCTGTCAATTACTGACATTACACTTAACACGCACCTCAAATTTCTATTTCAGTCATTAGATATTTATCGCTTCCACGCGTAGTCAGGGCAAGCAATGGCGTACACGAGGACCATTGGCGTGGTAGACTACGTTGTCATGTGTGCGGTTCTACTTGTGTCCGCCTCTGTAGGGGTCATCTTCTCACGAACCGGGGGACGCCAAAAGACAACTCGAGAGTACCTGCTGGCGAACAGGGATATGGGCTTCTTGCCTGTGGCTCTGTCTATCATAGTGTCGTATATATCGGGGATTATGATTCTAGGGTAGGTACCGTAGAGTTCATAATTGAGATTCCGTTGTATTCCGGTTTACAACGTTTTAAATATTTTAATCCCTATTTTGTGAATAGAAGTGGGTGGGCAAACAATGGACAACCATATCAAAACCGTTTAATTTTAAACGGAAAAACACACTAGCTTACACGGAATAACACAATAGCTTAGACGAGTGAACACCATGACGGCGGTGTGGTCCAGCGTGAGTGCGTAGATTCCCTGTCATTAGGTATCAGTAAAACCCCCTTTTCACTGGACGGCGTCCTTTCTGCGTCCTTTGTGTGACCATGAAACTGGCCAGGACGCCGTCGGACGCTCAAAGAACGCTCAGTGATCGCTAAGATCGCACAAAGAACGTTCAAGCATCGCCGAGGACGCCATGGACGCCGCGAAGGTTTGAGCATGTTCAAAACAATCGCAGAGATAACGCGAAGGAGGATGGACGCTGCAAAGTCGCTTATCAATGGACGCAGAGAGGACGCACAAGCATCGCTTTGTTTGCAGAATGAAAACTCAAAGATCGTCCAGTGTTCGGCAAGTAGAATATTATTATTATTTTCTCTCAAACGGGGCCGTGCTGAGGTATTTTTCACCAGACAGGAATTCTTAGGGCAACAGTGGTCTCATATCAGTCTCCGATAGTTTTTTCCCCTAAAATTCATGAACCGATCCATTTTTTGGAGGTAATTATAAAACGAATATTTTGCCTTTTTTACAAGATGCAGTTTTGTCAGATCTTTTACAGAATGCGTCATCTGAAAACGGATTCAAACATTCTGTGTTGTGTCAGTCATATTTTCTCGTTATCGGCGCCTGTCCATCCTTTTTATAAGGATAACAATGAGCATCTGGCTGAGTATCAGTCCATGCAGACCTTGCATCACTGTAATTTAAAGCGTTTATTCCCATTTATTTGTTTCGTTTTCTGGAATGTTCTTACATTGGATGACCTGTTTAGAACCGATGAAAAAATATGAGTTAGAATATATAGAAGGACGCCCAAACAACGCTCATCGGTCAAGCAGGATGCACAGAATGATCGTAGAATGGACGCCACTAATCGCCAGTGAAGATACAGAGAACGCAGCAAGGATGCTCAATGGTCGCTCAAGCATCGCAATGGACGCCGTGGGTTACACTGGACGCCGTCCAGTGTAAAGGGGCCTTAACAGCAGGATACGTCAGCAAAAAGATCACCATTGTTTGTGGCGGCGACAAGATAGTAGCTTTAAATGGCTAGGACCAAGCCGGCGCGTGCCACGCCAATCAGTCCAAGCACTGCTTTGCTATTATCATAGCTGTCCTATCTTACCTTGTTTTAACAAGCCCCTCCCCTAACATCTGCCCCCCCCCCCTCACCTGTCCACTGTCAACCTCTACTTTAAACTGAACAGTGCTTTTCCCATTGCCAAAATTTCAGTCCACAATACTTGTACATGTAAATTGAATCCACAGTCTTATCATTTACATAAAAATAATCAGTGAAAGCCGTTCCTAATTCTTCGGAAAAAATTTAAACACTGACGTCGCGCCTTAGGTTTGCATATGATCATTTCTACACATTTACACCCCATTTCCATAGATTTTAAATCGATCTATCCCTGTGGGGAGTCTCCCTAGATTACTGTCAGCTTAGCCGGCTTAAGCGTCTGTCCCGCCTACTGAAAGCTGTAAGGGGCTAATTAACTATGGTGCGCGCTCGACTGACTGCAATTTAGCTTGAACCCCCAGGGAGTTAGGTCGATCTAAATCTTCATCCCTGGATCGATCTAAATCTCTGGGAATACACCCTTACACACTCGATCATTCCTCTGGTTGCTTCATCAGCTTGTTTGAAAAATGGAAGCTACTAAGGATGCTCTTTGTTTTCTTTCTGGCAGGGTTGTTATATAATAATCTTGTCGAAACAACTAATGGTAATTGCTATGAAAACACGAATAAGGAAGTGGTGCATGTTACACGGACATTTAAAGAGGTTAGACTCTCAATGGGGTGTATCCGAACAACTCTGTTAAGATTACAATTAATAAAAGACACTAATTCATGTTTCCAATCAACGATCTGCCCTAGAATATATTTTCTTATAAATTTGAAACTTTATTAGAACAATAAGTATACTGGCATTTGTATTTGTTTAGCAGTTTTCAGTACCAAGATCCCTTTGGTTGTGACGGATCTGCACTCCATTACGTTTTCCTAAAAAAAGGAGACAAAGCAAATAGCCTTGTCTTCTTGGACCAATATAATCTTGCTTTGAAAAGATGATAAATAACGAGAATTATCAATCATTAGTTTAATCACCCTCTCTCTCAATCCATGAAAAGCAAATGGTATCCGATTTATACAATTACGTATAATTTAACGAAGTAGACCTGATGGCGTAAATAGCTTGTTGGCCACGGGTCCCTTAAAAAACTTGTAAGTGCACATGAAATTTACAAGCCGAGGAGTTGTATTTGTGATCTGTACAAGAAGCATAAAAACTGCAGAACAAGTTATTTGTGAACTTGAAACTTGAAAGACTTGAAAGAAAATTTTATTTACTTTGATTTCAGATCAGTTCACAGTACCTTCTCAATTCTCTTTTCACTGCTCGACTTGCTGGTATTGTGAAAAGAAAAATGGCTCTAGAATTTTTTCGTATTGCACTCCTTCAATCTCTCTCTCTCTCTCTCTCTCTCTCTCTCTCTCTCTCTCTCGGGTATTTTCCCCTCTCTCTGTAATATTTACTGTCTTTTGTAAATACGATCAGCGTTTAAAACGTTCACTAGTATCTCCAAAATCTGAAATTGATGACTTCAATCACTTCCCTTAATCATGCTAAATGGTACTAGTCTGTTACATAAATATTGAAAAACACAGTGTGATTTTGTACGTATTTTACTGGGACCCTCATATCAGAGGGCAGTTAAATATTTCCAGGAAAGTCATCGGTGATACAACTGTAGATCAGAGGGTGCAAGTAAGGAGTTATATAGGGTTGTCTACAAAGTGATATTCTGGGTACCTCTCATCAACATTCAACTGCAAATTGCCCCATATCACACTTATTATGCTTATGTTATTTCAACTTGTACATTTTCAAGTAGTTGGGTTGTTTATTTGTCTCGCTTTGGTTCAAATACTATTTGGAAATGTACAATTATAGACACGTTTTAAGAACTTTTTTTTAATTTTTTTTTTAATTGTCGTCAACTCTAAATGTTCATTCTTATTGACCTTTGGTGTATAAACCCTATTCGTATACCTCACTGGTACAAGCTAGGATAAGCTATTGTTTTACACGTTATTTTATTCACAGGTACACAACTGAGATATATCAGCACGGCATCCAGATAGTGATGTTTAATCTGTTTAACATCCTGGCCTACGTGATCTCTGCCTTTACCTTCGTCCCCTTTATCCGGAAACTGCAGATAACGAGTTCATTTGAGGTAAAAAGGACCGCATCCACAACCAAATTTGATCCGCGGGCTTACAGATCTGCGGATCGAATGTGGCCGACCCACTTTGAAGCCTGCCGTGTAGTCACCGCGGGGAATCTGTTCATTGTCTATTAGGGATTTGTATATAATGCGTGATGCTTTCAAGTGAGTCGGCCATATTTGACCCGCGGATATGTTGTCAGCGGATCATCTTGTTCTGAATGCGACCAATGTCACCAAAGGTTTACAGCTGTGTTCCACTTATCCGCTTAGTACAGATAACAAGTTGTTTCGAGGTCAGATTGTCACCAAATAAGATTGGGGGGGGAGGGGGGGGACCGTGACCCTACTGTGTCTGTGTTCAAGGAGTGTTTTCATCGGAGATGGGTAGACCCTATCTCATGCGACCTAGCAATAACTTTTTACACCTAATATTGGTCTTAACTTTTAAACTAAAAACTTTGGTCTACTTCAAGAGTCCATTATATATATCCACTGTGAGTTCTGGTGGTAAGAAACACCAGCCATGTATTTCTTGTAACAAAGCATTGTTGTAAGATTTCATATGCGTAGTCAGGATACGTATATTGGTTTCCCCTGCAAAAATTTGTCTCATTTAACACTCGCTTACAGTTCTCAATCTATTCCAGAACATAATGTTTTTCTCTTTCAATGAAAAATGTTCTTAAACTGTTCTAGGACATTCTGAAGTACTTCTAAAAAACACAATTCTCGAATTGTTACATTCATTACAGAACAACATTAGAACGTTAAAGAAAGACACCAAATGTTCTAGAATGCATTGAGAATCGTAAGTGAACGTTGAATGAGACAAAATTTTGCAGGGGTTAGTCCTGCTTAACTGCTTCTACTTTCTTATTCCAGTATCTTGAGCGAAGGTACCGGTCGAAAACAGTACGCCGCCTTGGGTCTCTACTGGGGATACTGTCCGCGGTGAATATTAATAAAACAAATCATACGTATACATGTTGTGAATTCCAGAATGCTCTGTCACCAAGGAGTGCTGCTTGTGATGAGAAGTGGCAAAATGCATATTCATTTTTGGACTGGGGATTAATTAGAGAACTGTTAATCATTCTGAAAACATTATTCATTTTGTTGAGAATATGATTTGATTGTCAGTATCTAAGTACGTGCTGAATTTAATCTATCTGCACGCTTTATTTTTCGTTAAGAGTTTGCTTAAAGCTAAGAATGAAAGAGAGAGAGACAGAGAGAGAGAAGTTTTGTTGGATTTTATTAACGTCATGATGTACAAAATAAACCGCAACCTTCATTACAGACGCTGTACCTTGGAACTGCGACAAACGCCACAGCCACGGCCGTGGAGGCAGGTAAGGGTTGGCTTCATACACACGAAAGGTTCTAGTCCAAAATCTTGATCTAATGACATCATATATTGAAGTGAAGTAAAAACTGTAGTTCTTCCACCTGTGGCCCATCGATACAGACACGGCAGATCCGGTCTTCCATTTTTTCACCTATATATCGGAGATATTCTCCCGGTTTTAATCCCAAGTGATTGCAAGTGTGAAATGTGCTACGGGGACCGTTCAGCTTTGCTCAACTTTATCTTTGTAAAAGTCATTCTTCAGAAAAGAAGTTATCGTAGGTTCTTGAAGTAGTAGTAGTAGTAGTAGTAGTAGTAGTAGTAGTAGAAGAAGAATTTTATTATTAATATATGTCCACATTATGATATAGGCTAATAACTAGCAGAACAAGCATACATAATTTCATATCAAACCAAAAATAATTACAACATAAGTGCAAAAGCGTCACATTTCTTCACTTATCCTCAGAACATTATAAACAAATTCACAAACGTCCTTTGCTGAATTTTCCAACTAAAATTGCTCGTGTATATGTTTCAGTGACCGACCTCCCAACATGGGCATCTATTGTGATAGTGTCCACAGTGTGTGTATTCTATACAACTTTGGTAAGCAGTTTTAAGCCTTATTCTGATAAACCCTTATTATCATGATTCAGATATAGACCCTTAGCACTAGCTGAATCTGTCCACCTTTGCGGGAAATTGTCTCTAAGACTAGGTTCCCATGCCTAGACCGATCCATCTGGATCGGTCTAACTCCCTGGGGAGTCTCACTAAATTGCTTTAAAGTAACTGCCTTAAATGTCTGTATGATAAAAAATTCATGGTTATTTGATTTAACATTTTAAAATGTTATAGTTTAAATTTTGAATCAACTTTTAACTTCCTACATTGCGAAAGATTATGCAGTTCACATTGTCTTGAACCATGACTGTATTACAGTGCATCCTCTATTTTCGCTCTTCTTTGTAGGGAGGTATAAAGGCGGTACTGTGGACCGACGTCTTCCAATTCGTCGTTATGGTGACGGCCATGCTAGCAATATTAATCAAGGTATGTCACACGATTTAAGATAGGTCTTTTATATATATATATATATATATATATATATATATATATAAATTAAACTCTTAAATGTGCACTATTTGAGTTTGAAACTGTCCCAAGTCTTATTTTCTGTGCTTTACTTATGAGCATTAGTGTATATCCTGCGAAGTTACATGTATTTATCCTTCCCAATCCACGCCTTTCAAACGATAAAAGCCATCTGAAATGTAAAGGACGACAAGGTGATTTAACATTTGGGGAAACATTTAAAACTGAATTATTTAATTGAAATAATACCAAACATCGAATTCAAGTGTAGAGACGGGTCAATATTCCTGAGTTTGAAAAATATACTTTTTTCAAGGAATATTCGCATTGGCGGGAGAATTCCTTTAAGGAGCTCAGTCTTTAGACAGGACTTGAACGAAAATTAAAAATGAAACGAAATGTAAATAATAGAGAGAAAGAAGAACGGAAAGGGAATGAAACCCTAGCTAACTCCATTTCATTTTTAAAGTTCTTTAGTTAAGCGAAGACAAGAAACACATTTTACCGCTAAACATCA